GAGGAGAAAGCCATCAAGATGCTAGAAGAACACACCCACAGAAAAGAAGATGGAAAATTTGAAACCGCGCTACTCTGGAAGAAAGAGGACATCAAGATGCCCAACAATTACGAAAATGCGTACAGACGGCTGCTCACCACAGAGAAGAAAATCGACCGCGATCCACGCCTAAGGGGAAAATACATAGAACAAATGGACGCGCTCATCGAAAAGGGATACGCCGAGCGAGCACCGCCGACATCAACAGAAGACAGAACTTGGTACCTGCCGCATTTTCCAGTCATCAACCCGTTGAAGCCAAACAAGTTACGCATCGTACACGACGCAGCTGCGAAGACCGGAGGCACCTCACTCAACGACTGCCTTCTCACCGGGCCGGACCTACTTCGATCGTTGATAGGAGTCATGATGCGATTCCGTCAACACCAGTACGCCGTGACAGCCGACATCGCCGAAATGTTCATGCGCGTGGGGATCCGACCGGAAGACAGAGATGCACTGCGGTACCTATGGCGCGGCGAAAGAAGAGAGGGACCACCGGAAGAATACAGAATGAAGTCACTCATCTTCGGCGCTACGTGTTCACCAGCCGCCGCTATTTTCGTCAAGAACAAGAACGCCGAGCGATATCAAGAAACGCAACCGACCGCCGTCAACGCCATAGTACAAGCGCACTACATGGATGACTACCTAGACAGCTTTACAACGGAACAAGAAGCCATAGAAGTGTCGACGCAAGTAAGAAAAATACACGCCGACGGAAATTTCGACTTACGCAACTGGGTGTCGAACTCGCATCGAATAAGGCAAGCACTCACCGAGGGACCGCTACGCGTTCAACAACCAATAACACTCAACGACGGATCAAGAATAGAAAAAGTACTCGGACTCATGTGGAACCCGCAATCGGACGAATTGGGGTTCAATCTCGAGTTGGCGCGCATCCCATCGGACCTACTTGCAAATAAGGCACCCACGAAGAGAGAAGTTTTGAAGATTGTGATGTCAATCTACGATCCAATGGGACTTGCATCACCAGTCACAGTCAGGGGAAAGCAGATCATACAAGAAATTTGGCGACGCGGCACAGAATGGGACAAGAAAATCGACACCGACCTCGCAGAGCAGTGGACGACCTGGCTACAACACATGAAGGACCTACGAGGCGTCAAAGTACCACGAGCCTACATAGGATACAGCGAAGCCACTTCACTTCAGCTGCACATCTTCGTGGACGCCAGCGCCACCACGTACGCCGCCGCACTCTACTGGCGGGCCGAGTCACCGGGAGGTCAAGTCGACGTGTCACTCATCACGGCGAAAGCACGCGTGGCTCCACTCAAAGTCACGTCGATACCGCGCCTCGAGCTACAAGCCGCAGTCCTGGGAGCAAGAATGGCCGCCACCGTGATAGAAGAGCACTCAAGAAAACCAGAATCGAAGACATTTTGGACAGACAGCAAAACAGTATTGTCTTGGGTGCGAACGGGATCGCGCTCATTCAAGCCATTCGTCGCGCATCGCATAGCCGCCATCGAAGAACTCAGCACCATCAACGAGTGGCGATGGGTGCCCACGAAGCTCAACACAGCAGACGACGCCACAAGAATATCACCGCACGACTTCTACGGCTACCACAGATGGTTCACCGGGCCTCCGTTTCTACGAAACAAACAAGAAGAATGGCCCGCCGAAACTGCAACCGCAACCGATGTCACCGGGGAAGAACGCGTGCACCACATAAGCACGAAGAAAGCGCCGTCAATATCCGAAGCTGCACCGGACGTCACTCGATTTTCGCGCTGGGACAAGTTAATTCGGACTACGGCAAGAGTACTACAGTTCATCGACCTCTGCCAAGCGAAAACCGACCGAATTAACTACAGAAGAAAGAAAAACGAAAAGGAACCCGACTGGAAGAAAAATCAAAAATCGGCGCCGACACATAAGAAGAAAACGACGCCAACCGTTCAAGAAAGAAAATTCATCGCAATCGACCGAAGATACATCGAACGCGCAGAGAAAATAATAGTTCGCGTAATACAACACGACGCATTTCAAGACGAGTTGAAACAACTGCGAGGGGGCGCCACCATCGCTACGAACAGTCGACTCCGCCCACTTTCGCTAATAGTCAACGACGGCGTGTTGTACCTACGAAGCCGGGTCAACGCAGCGGCGGGAGTGACCGAAAATCAGAAGACACCGGCGATACTCGACGGGAACCATCGAGCCACCCAACTGTGGATAGAACACACACATAGAAGCCTTCTCCACGCCGGGGTGGAAACTACAGTCAACGAGTGCAGACAACACTATTGGATTTTACGCATTCGACCCGTCACGAAACGAATAATAAGCAGTTGCATAAACTGCCGCATAAGGAGGGCGGCGCCACCGTCGCCACCTACCGGAGATTTGCCGCCGACGCGCCTCGCTCATCACCGACGGCCATTCACGTACACCGGATTGGATTATTTCGGGCCGTTGACAGTCACCGTGGGCAGGCGTCAAGAAAAACGCTACGTCGCGCTCTTCACGTGTCTTACTACGAGAGCCGTGCACCTCGAGTTGGCCGCCTCACTATCGACGGACTCCGCCATACACGCACTACGGCGCATGATAGCGCGCCGCGGGTGCCCTACCGAAATTTGGTCGGACAACGGGACCAACTTCCACGGCGCAGAAAACGAAATGAAGAAGGCAGTGCAGCAGGCGACGAGCGAAGAAGCAAGCATCCGCAGCATCCGGTGGAGGTACATACCGCCGGGAGCGCCATTCATGGGCGGGGCGTGGGAACGCCTCGTGAAGTCCGTCAAAATCGCGCTAAGTGCGGTTTTGCAAGAAAGAAGTCCGCCCGAAGAGGTACTTACGACGCTACTCGCCGAGGCCGAATACACCGTGAACAGCCGGCCTCTCACCCACGTGTCCGTGCACCATGAAGACGACGAAGCCATCACTCCCAACCACTTTCTGCTGGGAGGTTCAGCGCGCGTCCCACTGCCGGGCGAGTTCGACGAGAGCGACCTGATAGGCCGCCCGCACTGGAGAGCAGCACAGCGCCTCGCCGACCACTTCTGGGCGCGCTGGGTACGAGAGTACCTACCCGAGCTGCAACACCGGCGGGAGCCCCACGGGACCGGGAAGACCATCGCCATCGGGGACATCGTGCTCATCGCCGACAGCAACCTGCCACGCAACACGTGGCCCAAGGGAGTCGTCATCGCCACTTTTCCCGGGCGAGACGGCACAGTACGAGTCGTCGATCTGAAGACAGCCGGAGGAGTGCTACGCAGACCGACCAAGCGACTGGTGATATTCGCATCGGCCGCCACTCCCACGGAAGATGGATGCAGCGACGAGTCGACCGACGCTGCACGGCGGGAGTATGTACGCGACGACCGAAGCGAAAGAAAATAAACTTACGACAATATGAGATTAATGTATAAAAAATGTATCTATAATTTCACATGAATCGGTTGTATACGCATTAAAAATATCATTCCCTTGTTGTCTTATTAGAATGAGTCGGATATCGCAGTAATAGATAGCTCTGCCCATAGTAAACCATTGTAAAATTGATAGTTCAGAGCGATATTCCGCCCCGTTCTCTCCAATAATCTTATAAGACTTTATCTAAACGATCGCCACGACGCCAAGCGGTGGCGCGGGGAAACTAATCAGAATACTGATAGTTCCGACCTATAGGAGGGACGGAGACAATAGGTTGTCCTTGTCTCACATCTTATAGGATTTTGCCTGAGTTGATAGTTTTCGATAATAATATGTTTTATGTTTTGATTGATTTATTTTATATCTTATTAGAAAGTAGGTAGTTATAGGAATAATATATCGAAGTTTTGTATGAATCGTGTTAGTAGTTTAGGCGTAATTAAGGAAAATATCGGGAATAGTTTTTTATGAATAGTCAATAGGATATAGGTATAATTGTTATAATAATGATGTTATTTTGTGTGTCTTTACTTCTTCTATAAAATGGTATATGATAGTTAGGCATTAAGTGAGTATAAGTAGGATTTTTAAGACCTTTTAATTTATAAACTTTATAGGGCCGTAGAGCTGTTGTTTGTTGATATTCTTGTAAGAAACTTGTTGTATTAGATAGGTAACGCGTAGGGCTACGTAAATAAATAGGTATCACATCAATAAGTGTAAAAATGTACCGTGTAGGAGACAAAACCTATTTGTATAGAACCGTTTTCTGAGACATGTTGCGCTCCCCACCCGGCGCGCCCGGAGCGCGCGGGTGGGGCAACGAAGCCCCGTGGCAGGGCGAAGCCCTATGGAGGGGGAAAGTATAAATATTGCGGAGACCTATTTTTTGCGCGCCACACCTAAAATATCACGTTTACGGACACATAACTGTGTTAAAAATATGCCTAAATGTATGCCCGATGTATGTACAATTAGTTTTAAGCTCGCACTAATGTAATTTTTGAGAAAATGAAAAATAAAGTATAGCGTGGGTGAGGTAATGGATCGCTGGCCAGCTCAGTCCTAGCATATAAAATTCGAGTCGGAACATGCTCCGACATGCATTCAGCGACAGGCTCTCCTACCATAAGGAACAGGAAGAAACAATCAAGCGGTTCACTCTGGACCTGAAGCCTCCTCTCACCGGCCATCCATTATCAGCGCCCACCGATTTCTTCAATACCGAACACCAGGAGTTTTATTCGCCGAAACTACAGTCCACTACAGTCAAGACTCCTGCGTGTAACTTCCTCCACCCCTCAGTACGAGTCGGTAACTGTCCGCTACTGCGACAGCCCGGCGTCCCGTACAATTTATTTTATCGAAAAGTTTTTCTTTGCTTTATATATAACAGTCACAATAAACTTCACACGTGTTCTTTTTTCTATACAAAATTCGATTTAATTCAAAGAGTAGTCTGCAAATTCTCATTTGTAACAAACGTAACATTTTTCCTATATACTCATATTAATATTTATTTATTTCACTACATGTAATGTTTACAGGGTGGATATGCACCAAATGTTATACCAAGTTCATTTAGTTTGGTAGCAGATATGAGGCTTGCAACGACCGCAAATGCTACGGAAATGTTATCTTTGGTGAGTTTTACTTATACTACTTGAAAAGGAAAAAAAAATCTCAACGAAAGATTCTATTTTAGACCTTGTATATGAGACTGTACGTTTATGTTTGTCAAAATCAAATCGATAGAGCGATAGAGGCGCCAAGATCTGATCTTTCTGGATCCGTTAACAAAAAAGTTAAAATGTAATAAAACAGAAATCTGTAGAAGTTATTTCTCTTCAGGCAAAATCCTGGGCCGAGTATGCTGGTAATGGAACCAAACTTGAGTTTTTAAGACGAGAAATGGACGCATTGGCAACACCCGTGGACAATAGCAATCCATACTGGATAACGCTGAGGGATACTGTTTATGATCTGTAAGATTATGTTTTTTTTTGTCCTTAAGTACAAGCCACTCTGGTTAGGAGTGGACAGGTAAGGTACAGTGGATTTTCGGTTTTGAATGCATATCCCGCCACCACTTCCGTCAAAAAGACTATTACTAAATATCTGTTGTAGTTGTGATTGAAGTAAAATTACATGTACCTGATAATACTTGCCTGATAATTCACTTAAAAATGACAAAACAGACAAGTTTTCTTTTGTAGAGAATGCGTAATTACACCTAGAACCTTCTAATAATAACGAAAATGTGTTAATATAGATTAAAAATATTTGAAATTTGACCTTTATTTTCAATGCAATAGATTATTGCAGAAAGAGTTGCATTAAAGAGAAAATTGGAATTGAAGAAATTTCAAAATTTCTACGATATTTTTAAAATTTGAGGTAATAAATCGTCTAAAATCTTAAATGTAATAAAAACTTTTTCGATTTCTTGACATAATAAAAAACGTTCAAAGTTTAAAATGTAAATTATACAGTGCTATTCTGTTGGAACAAACTCACTTTTTACCGCGGAATTTGCACGTGTGATTTGAAATTTTGAAAATTGAGTTTGTTCTTACAGCACTGCTGACGAGGAAGAAGAAATAATGAAAACCTTTATTAATTTTCACAGAGGCTTCAACGTCACTCCTATCGTTCTGCCGGCCACTTCGGACAGCTTATTCGTTAGGAACTACGGAATACCTGCTTTCGGTTTCGCACCACTATTCAACACCGTCCAAAGGATCCACAACACTAACGAGTATATCAACGTTCACGTCTTTATGAGGGGCATCGAAGTTTATGAAGTACTTATAAAAAATTTAGGCAACCTTGCATCTGTAATCAATTTCAAGTAATAATGATGATTTATGTGTTTTTTTAAATAAAAAACATACTTTAAATATATTACATTAAAATAATATATTCCCATACAATAATATAGATAAATAAACCGTTTACAAAATATCCCAAAACGGCGCAAATTTGTAAAAAACATACCAATTATGGAATAATATCTGCACTGGGCCCGCGCCGCGTGGTGGTGAATGGCCCAATCTCCCTTTTCCATCCATAGGTATGGCTTGTGCTCCTGCAGTGCGGGGACATTAATAGGCTGATGATGATGATGAAAAAATATTACATGAAAATAAATATATATATATAAAAATAAGGCCTAATCATTGTGTATATCAACCTACTATTATTCTGAAGAAAAAACCTACACCTAATCATATAAGGACTTACACAAAAATATTGACATATTCGTTTTCAATTAGGTATTTTCTGAGCTACGGTTATAACTTGTAACATATTTTTTATAACCAGCTACATTTATAACCACAGCACACGATAAAATATTTTCCCTATTACCTGGGTAACAGTTGATAAGCTGGCTACACAATTATTGACACAATAGCATCCTATCAAATTGAGATATACACACTCCAGTAAATGCAGCAACTAATTCCGCATTTACGAAGCTGGAGGCCTACTCTATTTCAAAGAAAAACGAAATTTCGATCGAAATTTCGCTCGTTCCTTACTCTGTTTCTATTTCATTTCGAAAGTTCGTTCGTTCGAAAATAATTTGACATTTAAATTCTCTAAGCCTACTCTAATTAACAAAACCTTTGAACTAAAAGTTGATTTTGACAGATAATTGTTCGAAATTATAACCTCAAGTTGACGAAATGAAAAGTGTTACCTTTTCATTTTCGTTTTGGGTTTTTTGTTTAAATTAAACATAAAATTACTACTGAGTATTTTTAATTATGGCTGCTTAGCGTGAGGAACATTTTTTAGTATGAAAAATTTACAAATAAATCTAATTTTTGTTTATTATTGTATTGCCAATACTTCAAAGTGTTACACGACAAAAGGTTGACATACATTTGATTATATCAACTCTACAAATAAGTCGGCTAACACTGTCAAAAGAGGTTGTTTTAATGTAATCAAACATGTTGTCATAAAATAATATTGTTTTGAAGTAAAAAACGTTATCTAAAAAGTGTAGACAAAAAGAACTCACAAACATAACTCATTCCATTCGTTCACGATAACTGAGAACTTTATGTGCGTGTTCGAAGATGAAATAGAGTAGAGTGACTGGCGAAATTTCGTTTAAAATTCGTTCGTTGCCGAAATTTCGTTTCGGAGAAAGAGAGTAGAGCTCCTGTTGTTTTTATAGCATGGTATCTAGTCGAGAGTAGCGAGACATCATTTATCTATGATCGTTAATTACTGTACAAAGTATAAAATTTTAGTTTTTTTAATTTTGCATTTGAATGTTGGTATATATGTACCCAGTACCTCCTTTCCTTTTTTTTCTTCGCTTTATTGAAAGTTCACAAGCAGCATCTACCACAACGAAAACCACATCTGTCTAAATAATTGCAGTTGCAATCATCTAATGTGCTATTGTGTAAATGACAAGTCTGTATCATTAGCCATATAATATATTTTCATATATTTTATCAGTTGATAAATATTGTATAGCAGGTGGAGCACTGTGGTAACAGTCAGTCAATTAAATATGATAACAGAACTACTTTTCAATCAGCGCGAATTTCAATTATATTATCTATTAAATCTCCAGCTGGAGGATTAAAGGCCCTTGTTTTCCTAGTCCTACATCTAGATACCACACAATAAAGGTTATATGGGTACAATTTCCTATTGTGCGCCCGTCAAAGAAATGCATTATAATGTCGATTACATCCCTGCTAAACAAAATGTAAACATAGATATTTTTTTGTCCTTACATGGCGAGACTGTATACGGCCTCTTATTGACCATACATTTTGAGGCATATTATACCAGTGCGAATCTCCTATTCTGTCATCTCTTTTCACTTCAATACTTCGACAAGAGGACCTTCATTGCATTAGTAATACATTGGTATGCCACTGAGAGTGCGGGGGCTCTTCCGTCCGTTGGGTCGGCGTATCTCTTTCTTAGGGAGTTACTCGGCAAAACGTGCCTTCACATATTTGCCTGACTTTGTCGTGACTTACTCCACTCGATTCACATCTCTCATTTTTTTCTAATGATGGCAGCCCGTAAAATAAAGTTTGGTTGTACAGCGGTGCACACCCCCACGCCTTCCACGCTGTTTGAGGTTGAGTTCTGTAATATACGCGGACTCCACTCTAACGTCAATGCTGTCCACCACCATCTTGAGACAGCACGGCCATCATTATTGTTCTCACGGAGACACAAATACTTCCGCCCGCTGACACAGGCTACCTTAAATATCCCGGGTACGCGCTTGAAGAATCCTAAAAAGCAAAAGCCGGCGTATGCCTGTATGTTCGGGCGGATGTTTGTTGTCGCCGTTTGAGATGCCTAGAAGACTCCTCCTTTTCCATGTTGCCGGTACATGCAGATGGCCTTTCTGGTCCTTTGGCCACAGCCTACGTATGCCTTTACAGATCCCACACCGGTGACGCTGAGACAACTCGACTGTTTGGCCACCTTAGTAGGGCAGCAGACGATGCCCAGGCGCAATTTCCCAACGCAGAACTGGTGTTTTTGTGGGACTTTAACGCCCAGCACGGTTTGTGGCTGGGCTCCTCCAAAACTGATCAAGCAGGGATCTCTGCCTATGCATTCGCGCTCACGCATGACTTGACACAACTGGTTGATCAGCCCACCAGGATCCCAGATATAGCAAGTCAAGCGCCTTCTTTACTAGACCTTCTACTTACGACTCATCCGCAGGAGCGAGAGTTGTGGTTCGAGCCCCACTGGGTTCATCAGATCGTTGCCTGATATCTATCAAGGTGCCACAGGCCAAAACCCCTCGACTATTGTTGATCAAACGCAAGATCTGGCATTATGGGTCAGCAGATTGGGATGGTATGCGCGACTACTTTGCGTTCGTCCCTTGGAAGCAGCGCTGCTTTAGTGAAAAGGACCTGTCGGCCAACGCCGTTGCTATTGCTGATGAGATCGTAATGGGAATGGAGTATTACATTCCATATTCTGATTTCATCAGTAAGGGCACACATAACCGCTGGTTTAATCGCGACTGTGCTGATGCTGTTTCTCGTAAGCAGGCGGCATATCACGCTTAGATCAGAGGCCGCGCTCTTAAGGACCCTGGGGTTCACTCACTGAAAGCAGCCTATAATAGTGCTTCCAAGTTTTGTAAAAAGGCTTACATCAGAGCGGATGCCCAACGTGTAGCACGTATTGGCCACGAATTGTTAACGCACCCTACGGGCTCCCATAGTTTTTGGCGTTTGGCTAAGGCCGTGCAGATAACTTCTGCCAGCCCTCGCTGCTACCTCTGGGATGTCCAGATGAGTCACTAGCTCATGAGCCGCAAGAGAAAGCCGATTTGTTGGCAAAGCGGCTAACTCCCGAATCAGTGATTGCAATGCACTGCCACCTACACTACCTCATTATGGCACTGCGATGCCTGACATTAAAATCAGGCAGCGTGATGTTCGTGTGGAGTTGCAATCACTCGACATCCGGAAAGCTAGTGGACCCGATGGCATCCCAGCAGTTATACTAAAACATCCGCAGGCTTGGAGAAATGCCAATGTGCAACTGGTGCCCAAAAAAGGGGAACGCTCTAACCCGGCCAACTATCGGCCAATAGCTGTCACCTCAGTGTTGTGTAAAGTCTTAGAAGGGGTCCTTAACAACCATCTGACCCGTTACCTAGAAGATTACTCCCTGATTCACCATCGTCAATACGGAATTAGGCTGAATCGATCGACGGGTGACCATCTAGCGTACGTGATCAACGATATTAAATACCCTAGGTACACTATCACGTACAAAATTGTAGTCGAAAACTGTCCTAAAGGTACATAGGAAGGTCGCGTAACCAACGCGTAAATAATATCGGATATATTCAACATTAATTTATAGGGGATACGGTCTTAATTGATGTGGTTTTGTGAAGGTGTTATGACAATTTAGACTGCAAGCCAATTGCAAGGTCGTAAAAATTTATTGCTTTTCTTCGAAGGCGACAAGATAAACACTCTAATTGCTTGACTTTAGGTCTAGTTCTGAATGCGATGCATGCAGAAAGTAATATACATATAATCTTGTTAGATTTTATTTAATTTACAACAATATGGTTCAATATGAATAAATTTAAGAATAATTACAACAAAAAATTGTAGACACACATATATATATTTATATATATATATATATATAATATACATCCATACAGATGGAGCTAAAGAAGTTTCACTTCAGTTGTGTAGTCATAAGCACACTCGTTTTTTTATGATAATTATTCAATTAACGTTTCACTAGTAGTTAGTTATCTGTCTTTATAATACATCATACATATATAATAGATGGGTCATTATACGAAATGGCCTTTTTTAAATCACAAAAATTAAAGTGAGGATTTTTTGGGTTTCAAACATTTATTTTTTTGCAAAATATAATCAAATACAATAATCACAACAGAAAACAGAATTTTTATTACGTTTAATACGTACAAAAATGAAAAATCATTTTTTAAGTCTCACAGAATTGATGCACGTTTTCACTGAAATGATCTAAGTGATCATAACTTAAGAATCAATACAGTTATTATAATAATAAATGTTCTACCGAAAACCATTAAGCCAAGATAAAATAAATTATGAAACATTATTTTGATCAATAAATTTAAAAAACAATAAAAAAAAATCAAACATTCATGTCCACGGAAATGATATTTAGTAGGAACGTCATTTCTGTGATACTAAATTATAAGAATCACTGAAGTCATCATATGATAAAAATGTGCGAACTCTCTTATTATAATGTTCTGGGTATATTCAACAGCCAAAAAATTTACCCTGTTTTGTCTCAGAGGCCTAATTTTGTTTTACCTGTCAGAATAAATTTCATCGACACGTAATTTAGAGCATGATGGTATAGGGGCTCATTTTCTGAGTTGCTTGTAATGATTGTATTGGTGATTACATTTATTCCAATCTAAAATGACGACAAGTGATGTCTGAATGACATTCCAAACAACTCAGTCGCCTGGCTTGAAGGAAATCTGGGTTTTCTTTTGCCCAAACAATTTGATGAACTTTCATCATGCCTTGATAGGTTTTGTAAAGCTATTCTGAAAAAGAAAATGTTCTCTATTGGCCTAATAATACATACATCATTTATTGGCATTAACCTAACCAAGAAGTCATTTTTTTCCAAAAGTTATTTTCCATTTTTTTCAAAAAATAATATCAAAGTTTGATGGTCTGGAATGTCATTCCCCAAAACCATTCGTCGATCATTATGTCTTTTTAAGTAGCCACCTATACCGTCTGGCGTCCTTTTCCATGACCAGACTCTGAATACTGCCATACAAAAGTGTTTGTATTAAACACCGAAAAAATACAAGTTCTGTGAACAACAAGTTCACAGTAATGACGATCACGGGATTGACGAATCATTTTTAAAATCATGCTACGTCGTGGTTTTAAAAGTTACATATTAATTTATAACTACAACCAAAATAAGTCCCCATGGCATTAATTATGAGCTATGGTGGCAAAGTAAATACGTTACTACATACCAAAAAAATCCCTAACCGAATTGACGGGCCAAACTTTACCAAAAACGTATATTACATATATTATTTTAACAAAACTTCACAGTACATAACCTTCTTGTTGGTTAGCACACACAACTGAACTAACAGCAAAAAGCAGTGTAACCAGGTAATAAGAGCAGTAATTCAGGTCTCAAAAATTTTTTGTTGGGTGAAAATAGTAGTTCACGGTATTGATTCAAATTTTTATAACACCTGTATAATGGCTACAAATTTTAATATATTAATAAGAAAAAATAAACTGCTATGTTCTGATGTTTATTGGGATGTGTGAAAACAGATACTGTAAGTTCTTTTTAATTCAAGTGTGTAATATAACTTTTTTCCCAGCTTTTCTGACGAAAAATGTGTTTAGAACAGTTCACGGAGTATGACCACGCTTCTGTTTTGATTTTTTTTACAAATTAGTAGATAAGGTATGGTTGAATTATTTATGTTTTTGGTAAATAGCCACAATAATGTACTAAATAGATTTTTTCAGCTTTTGAAATAACTTATAAATAGTTAAACATCACCAAAGAACAGTTTTTTTGTACTTCGTATAATGACCCAGATACATGTTTAATGACGAAATGTACTAAAGCAAAAATAATATGAAATTTGATGAAAATGATAATATTATGTCACACTAAAAAGAATACAAGAAGCATACATATTAAGGATGTGCTAATGGGAACACGGTGAAGGTCAAAAACAATATTTTGTTATGACTATGACAAAACATTATTTTAATCTACGCGTAGATGCTTATGTGACAAAAAATAACAAAACCTGCACTAACCCTGGAACAAGTTTAATTTATTATAAAGTTGTCTTTTAGATTTATGTTTTGTTTCGATATTTTCTTTTTTGCAAATATAGTGCAAACGCACAGCTACATATTTTTCTATGACAGCTTTGGTCAATTCATAATAGTGGTTGAACTGTTCCTTGCTGTGGGCATCTGTATTTACAAATAATTTTAAATGCATAACCAACGCAGTGCTTCTAAAGTTAAATATTTTTTATCATATTATTTTAACAGTGATTTTCCACCGCTTATTTTTATACACCGTCTTATAATTTGTTCTGTTGTCTTACAAATAAAAAAAAAATCCTTTGGTGCAAAACATAGACCTCCAAAATCTTGGATATGTACTTGGAATTATTCTTTTTTTGTGGCAAGTAAATGATTTTTACAATCCTCACTTGGATTTTTTTAATAAGGAGAATACAATAAATCGTGAAACGTAAGACTGAAATGCTTATGGCTAAAATAGATTATTATTAAATATACAAACTTACTTCCATATTTAATCAATACAGCCCAACTAATATGTAATCTGTTCAATCAATAAATAATATGACCACCAATCTTTCGTCAGAACCGCTACCCATTGACGATGGAAAATTGCCACATGGAAAACGTTGATTGAATAACCAGTCACGCTTGATAAAGTTGCGTTTACACGTAATGTTGCATGTATGAATGCATCGGTGCTATGGTGTCATGTAGCACCTGGTTTTGTACCCTTGTGTACCCTTCAACGGATAAGTCACACAACATTAACTATAATAATAAAGAAATCGCAGTAAGGAACCTTAGACTTGGCACGACTTTGTCTAGATTTCATTACTTTTTAGAGATAAGCAAGCTCCACGAGACTTGGCAAGTTTTTTACAGAATATTTTTGGTGGGATTTCACTTCTTTTTGTAGAAACGTGGACATATTGATTTATTTTATTATATTTTCTTATTTGAAAGATTTTTTTTCTTTTTATGAATAGTCTTTTTATTATTACAAATCTTTCTTTTCTTTTTTTCCGGTTGCGATTCTTGAACAGTAGCAACAGTTTTTCGTATTGCCCCATCGCGTTCTTTATTTATTCTTTTAGATGGTTTAATTTCTAAAAGATTGGCGCGGTATTTACGCCTAAGCCGGTTGTATTCGGTGATCGCTGAAGCTTAAGCTGTTACACTCTTGAAGTCAACATTTATGAGGTGAACCCCATGAAGATTGGTTACTCGTGAAAGCGCCACATAGGTTTGGCCACAAGAGAATATGGAGGTGCCAATGTCCATGAGGGCATTTTTTAGACTTAGACCTTGGTATCACCACCAATCTTAGTATTGGACTATAATTTGACCAAATTTTGAGCGAAATTAATATTTTAGTGTAATTTGTTTATTTAATTTGTGTAATGTTCGAGTAGAATAAAGTTAATCGTTCGACTATTTTTTTCTTGTAAACTCGTAAGTATAAGTACAAAAGCCAGTCTAGTGTTATCCAGAGTTTTCCTTTTATTTTATTTGTATGCGTATTAAAAGTAGAAGGGGAGGCATTCGCCCAGCAGTGGGACGCTATAGGCTAGATTAAATTAAAAGATGTGTCCCACTACGCTGGATTTTTGCAATTCGATTTTTTGTGAGATCTGAGTCGTTTTTTTTTGTGTACCAATAGTAGAAGGGGGCTAATGCCCCCTTGGTAATACCATATCTCTAATACAGCTGAGACCAGCTGAGGGTTCTTCATCAGATACTTCAGACCTTCGATTTTTGACATCAACTGAAGCGGCCCACCAAGTTGAATAGTTTTTTTAAAGGCGGTATGTCGATCTCTTCTAATAGTTTGGTTGGGCTCTTGTGTTTTCTAATCAGGGTCACCAGGTACTCTAGATCTTCGATTATCCTAGTTTTTATAGTTTTCCCTTTATGTGGCCATTAAACCCTAACTCTGTACTAAATTTCAGATCTCTGAGTTTATGGGAAGTACTAGTTTTATTTTGATGATCATGAGTGAGTGAGTGTCTAAAATGCGAAACTTTGCTTTCGCTTAGCTTCGGAACTAAATGACGTACAGACTTGAAATTTTGGATTTAAAGTATGTTATTATAGCTTACTGGATGACGAAAATTTCTGCGTTCTGGTCTTATCCAGATGTTCTCAAATAGGGGCCTGAAAATACGGCGAAATGGTTCCAGTAAAGGATGGTACGGCAGTGTTTGCTTTGCGCTCGACTTGGCGGGGGCACTGCCGTGCCCCCCGATAGGTGTTTCCCGAACGCGAGTCCAATCCGTACTGATTGAAAGTAAAGTTTAATTACCGGAGGTTGAGGTGGATTCCTATTGCATTGACGTAAATGCAATAGGGATGCATCAGCACTTTTATTTTTATATAGCTGTAATGTTAAATTCGTTATAACAACCCCCCCCCCCCCGTTAAGATCGATCATCACATCTCAAAGTGATGAGATATTTAATACTGAATGCTGAATTGGACTGACATTTGGTAGAAATATACAGATACAGAGATTGATACAATAAACTACATTGACATAGTAAAACAACTTAAGATACGCAAAATTACAATTTCATTCGATACAATTGAGAGATTATTGGTAAAAACAACTAGGTAAGTATCGATTGTTTATTAGATTTTGTTCTGAAATAACAACAAGATTTACCTGGTTTTATTACAATTAACTACAATATTTAACTTACATTTTGATCAAAATTAAAGATTGACACAGATTAGAGTTAGGTCATAAGATGACGACATTGAATTATTGGGATTAGGATAGAGACGACATACAATATTTAAGATTAGGACATTGAAATACACATGAAATAGAATCATTGCTTTAAGAAGAGATAGATAGAGATATTAGAATTAGAACTTATCTTAGGGATTATGAGATTTGGAACTAATTACAAGATTTCGTTTTAGAGGAGCTGGTACTACTTTTATCTCAGCTTCCTCTGAAGAATCAGATGTAGTCAAATCATCTGATATTGGTCGATCCTTATAGATGACCACTTGAGATATAGGATTTGTCTTAGATTTTTTATTATTACGACATTGGTTGAATATTTGAATGCAATGAGATGAAGGACTTTTACAAAAGATTCTGAGATATTTATATAATAAGTATAAGAATATTATAAAACTAGCAACATAGCTTATAGACAAATAATGTATAACCATAGGTCTCAAAATGAGATGGATTCTCTAATCTATTTAATTCTTGTTCGAATGAATTTAGATGAGTACTGGCGTGTAGTAAAGAATCGAGATTATCAATATTACTTAATTATGAATAAGGTAATTTATCGGAAGTTTTATTTATCTTAGATCTTTCACAACAATCATCCAACAAGATGTTAAAATTAAAAATTTCGTTACTGTAAGTGCCTAACGTTATCTCGCTAACAGCAGTAAACTGTAGAGTTTTATAAAATGCCTTACAGTTTTTAGGGAACGATAAGATGCCAGTACCAAACAAAATAATGTCTATGCTATCTATATTTCTATTACAACTAATGTGGCATTTGCCAGGTTCGGATTGAACAAAAATCCATTAATTCGAACTTATCTTATGAAAAACGTCAATAGAGCCACGAATGAGATGAGTTTCGCAAATGTCTGGAAGTTTATTCACTACGTCACTCAAGAGAATAGTTTCACACGTGGGATTGGCGATAGCCGAGTACACATTCACTAAAACGCACACATAACACTTATCACTGATAACCTTGCATCGTTCCACGTCGACAGGTGAGTAAAACATACGATCAGCTGTTATTGCTACGCATGAACTGGATGGCGATATGAGCGAGTATGTGTCTGGTTTCGATATATCATAAGGGACAGGTAAAGGAATTTACATTATAAAGGTTATAAACTTGAGGTATAACTAAAGGCATCTTAATAACCATAATTATTTTAATTGAATGATAAAAACACATAAGCTTAGATATATCTATAATATAATGAATATTTTGTAATATTAAAGCTAAAGGGAGCTCGTAGTGGCTAGGTAGATTATTTCTAAGATTATATCTAACTCATTGTACAACTGATGCGGACTAAGTACAGTCGGGTGCAAAAGTTTAACTTCGCAAATAAAATTGCGTTGTAGATATCATCAATATCGAAGGATAGCGTATGTATTATAGATTCTAGGGAATTTTAATAGAGAGCTTATCTGAGATTTTATCTCTAATTTGTTGTTTGAATTCGACACAGTCTCTAGGACTTTATAAATACTCTCCATATTACTCAAGAGTTGTATTTCTTTTAAATTAACTTTAGAAATAGAATTATGAAAAGATGAAATGGTAGATTTAATAATGTGAATTTTATCATGAGATGAGCAAGATCTTTTTCATCCGTCTGTACATCTTCGATAGCTTTTGAGAATTTTATTGCATCCTCAGAATCTAATTTACCGAAAATAGTTTTTAGGAAATAACCACCAAGCTCAATGAGACCTCTTTTGACACGATTAGGTCTCTCATCTACTAATAAATACGATATGGAAGAGAACTTATTTACATTCGTAAGATGTTGATTTTTCAACGCGGATATAGAATTAGTACAATCAGATCGAATCTTAGCAGATGCGAATGAACTACAGAATACGGTTATCTTTTTAAATAAAAATTCTACCTTATCTAGATTAGGTTGTACGTGACTTATATCTACATATGAAACAACGTTCCAATCGCTATTCGTGAACTTAACATCTAATAACTTATCGAAATAAAGACCTGGAGGCCTACTCTATTTCAACGATAAACGAAATTTCGATCGAAATTTCGCACGTTCCTTACTCTGTTTCCTTTTGATTTCGAAAATTCGTTTGTCTGAAATAGTTTGACAATTAAATTCTCCAAGCCTACTCTAATTCACAAAACTTTCGAAGGAAAAGTTGAATTTGACAGATAATTGTTCGAAATTTTAACCTCAAATTGACGAAATGAAAATTGTTACCTTTTCATTTTCGTTTTGATATTTTTGTATTTATTAAGCCTAAAATACTTGCAAGAGTATTTTTAATAATAGCTTAGCTCGAGAAACATTTTTAGCAGGTAAAATTAACAAATAAACCATTTTTTTATTATTTATTGTAATTTCGATACTTCAAAGTATTAAACGACAAATTTAGGTTGACATACAGTAGAATGTATCAACTCTACAAATTAGTCGGCTAACACTGTCAAAAAAGGTTCTTTCAATGTCATTAAAAAATTGCCCTAAACTACCTATATTGTTTCCAAGTAAAAAAACGTTTTCTTATAAGTAGAGATAAAAAGAATTCACAAACATGACTCATTCCATTCGTTCACGAAAACTGTTTATGGTTCCGAAGTTAATGTGCCTGTTCGAAAATGAAATAGAGTAGAGTCAATGGCGAAATTACGTTTCAAATTCGTTCGTTACCGAAATTTCGTTTCGTAGAAACAGAGTAAAGCTCCTGGACTGCTTATTATCTGCGAGACGTACTCGCACTTGATCGGCGACAGCGTTGATCTGAAATAGTATATTAACAATCGTCAGACGTGACGTAATGAAATGATTACGTAGTGCAGTCAGCTACGAGTTTAATTTCATCATAGTGATGACGTACATGTTTACGATTGATAAGGAGAGTGACGGTATGACTGCCGTTTAACTTAATTATTTTATAAGGACCTTTCCACACTGGAGATAAGGCCTTGTTTTATATATGATGACAACGGATGTAAACCATGTCACCTGCTTTATAAGATAGAGGCTTAATGTGTGAATCGTAGTAATTTTTAGATTTTTCCTTTGACGATTGAATATTTTCAAGAGCCTTTTGGCGACTATAATACATTCGGTGATTGAGTGCTCGAATGTAATCAGTGTAGGTGTTAGTAACAAGCGTGTCGATACTGGAAGGTAAATATGGTTTATAGCCGAATAGTGACTCTAAGGGTAAGTAGCCTGTGGTGCTATGAACATTGGAATTATAAGCGATCATTGCGCTAGGGATGTATAGATCCCATGTATGTTGATTTTCCCCGATATAAGATCCTAAAATATTCTTTGAGAGTAGAATGACTCCTTTCTAATGCTCCACATGTTTGTGGGTGATAAGGAGATGCAAATATGTGTTTTATACTAAACAGTCTCTCTAGCTGTTTGAAAACGTCAGAGCAAAAGTTAGTGCCCTGATCGGAAATAATAATTTTTTGGATGCCCATATGATATATGTATAACACTAGTGATTGCGCCGTTTCTTCGGCAGAGCAAGATTGCAACATATGCTTGGGAGAACTTCGTAAGGTCGTCTTGTAGAGTTAGTATGAATTTATATTTATTTTCATGAGTTTCATGGAGAGGCCCGCCTAGGTCTAGAAATAACTTTTCATTGGGCCGAGATGCTGTGGAGGTTATAACCATTGGAGTTCGATTGGTTTGTCGTAAGGGCTTATTAATTTGACAAGAGCGACAATTCTTTACATAATCTTCAATGTCTTGCCGCATGGTTTTCCACCAGAATTGGGACTTTATCCTTCCGAGCATGCGCGAAATACCCGGATAACCGGCGAGAGGAGAGTCATGGTTATCTTTAAGGATTTGTTTGATCTCGACCGGCGTTAGATATTTAATACTATTACGGTAGATATTTATCTTAATATTACTGTTATGACATAGAAAAGATATTATATTTTACATTTTAGTATAGGATAACTTAGTGAAGGGATCGGTAAAGTCTGATATGGCTATTTCTTTTTTTTGGATTAGGACAGACACCATTGTCTGTAATAATGTGCTCGAGATAAACGACTTCGCGTCGCAGAAATTCCCACTTATCGGGCTACAACTTTAAGTTGAATTTCCATAAGCGATCGAATACTAGTGTAAGCTTTGAAATGTGAGATTTCAGGTCATAACTGTAAAGGATTACGTCATCTAAGTATACAAGGGCATAAAGGCCTTGAAGACCTGAAAGGACTGTATTCATCAGTCTTTGGAAGTTCGAAGGGGCATTTTAGTGAACTCGTAGTGTCCAGAAACATCAGAATTGGTGTTGACAGTTAAACCAGTTTTTGGCGCGTCCTTGGGGCTTACAACAAGTTGATGAAAACCGCTAGAAAGGTCAAGAGTGCTGAAATACTTGCAATGGCCTAGTTGGTCAAGTATATCTGATATAAGAGGCAGTGGATAACTTTCAGAAACAGTACTACGTATCAATGAGAAATAGGGAAGATTCAATATTTTTATTTTTGTTTTCATCTTAAAGAATCCCATGTAGAATAAACCACAGATATATTAAAAAATTAAAACATTATGATTTATCGGAAAAAATGCGGTTTTAAATTGACAATTTAAATTTTCGCGCGAAAACGAACCTATGGTTGCGATGACGTCACTCCTGTCTGCCACTGGTCATACTTGTTCGTCGCTGGCTTTAAATTTTCATACTTTTGCATATTTTTTCGACTTTCGAAATATTTTTTTGAAAAATTTAAAATGGACTATCCATCAAAATCATGTGATCATAACAATACCACTAATATTCCGAAAAAAAGCTGTGTTGACTCATATCTTGTGCCAATCTACTTCAACAAAGTTTCCAAATAAATTGTTTTTGACTGGAACTTCTGACCCAAAACTGAAAAAAAAGTGATGCTGTAAAGATCACTTTGATGTAAGTCGGCGAATATACTTGTTATATGCTTAATTAATCTGCTTGTACGTAAAAACGCATTAGTAAACTACCTAATACTTACAAAACCTGTCCATAACATATTTTAATTTTACAGTTGGAGAATGACGTCGAAAATTAGATAAAGTTTAAAATGTGTGGCACAATCTTCACATTGGCAGGACTGAACCAAGCTTTGCGTTTCATTTAAAATAACTGTAACACGTTAACCTTCTTTACGTACTTTATGCTCCGGAGAACTCGACCTTTTACTGTACATAATTCTCCATCTCTTTTAATTTGGGACTAAGCCGATTGCATTATCGCCGTAAGATTTGTAGAAGCCGCTGAATAAAATACGAAGTTTAACAACTACGATTTTTACATACCGTAGTAATTTAGTCCCTTTAATTTCCACACTTAAAAACTCTGCACTTTGGACAAAAAAAGTTATAACCGTGTCAACACTAACTCTTGGTAAATTCCTGGAGTCTGCTTTGATAAACGCAACTTCCATTTTTATTAAATGTAAAAAAACGCAATAAATATTCCCATAAAATAATATTTACTTTAACAACCATAACCTCAAAGAAGTAGTCATAACAGGAGTGACGTCACTAAACGCTGATTGGTGTTTTAAAATACGTTCTGTTTCAATTATTTTTAATTCGTAATAATTGTTAAAAAACAACATTATGTAAAATAAAAACGTTGCAGTGGCATTTCTTTTATATTTTTTTAACATTATAATCATACAATTTTCATGAATATTATATGTGCATCTTCCCTATTGTAGAGAGTTTGTACAAAAAATAGTTTTGAGATTTAGATGAGGTAACGATATCTTTTTCACAATGGAATTTATCTCGTAAACAGGGCTTTGCGCATCATTCTTAAATTAATTTTCAGGATGCTGCGATATGGGAGACCCCGTGGAAGGGGATTTATGCATAGACATATAACTCGAGTTCACAGATCGATGTGAGGCTCTAGAAATATTATTATTTAATTTTAATTTATCACTGTACGATGTAGCACAAGAATTAGAATAGGATTTAGGATAAGAGTTAGGATTTCAAAAAAAAAATGGTGGATATTTGACAACACACATGCGCATAAATTTTAATTAAATAAATATAGTGCGACCTATTCAAAGGCACTAAGGACCCGTGGCTGGCGTTCGTTGGGGCCGCCTCTTGCCCAGAGTGTGTGGACGGTGTCGTGCGGTGTGTTTTGGTCCCATAATTTGCAAACAATCAGCTGATCAGCGCTGCTCTACTTGACAGCCCGACGCCATAGGGTCGCCCTGGAGACCATAAGCGTTGTACCGGGTCACCTAGTT